TCTTGGATTCAATGCAGAAAAGAATTTCAGGATGAACCTGCATGAGGCAGAGGTGGAATTTCTTAAAAGTGAGGCACACCCAAGGCATGGGTGAGGGCTTCTCAGAGAAGACACCATGTGCATGCAGTGCTCTCAGAGGTGTCGGATCCCCTGGAACTGGAGTTACAGGCAGCTGTTAGCTGCCATGTGGGTGCTGGGAACTGAACCCAGGTCCTCTTCAAGAGTAGTAAGTGCTCTTTACCACTGAGCCATCTCTCCAGCCCCAGCAACGGTGTGTCTTGAAGGGAGGAACGGACAGTGTAAGGTGGCGTAGAGTGCAGGCACAGTTCCTGTTTGCATTTCCAAAATGCAAATTCATCTGGGAGCTTAAATTGATGTAATATTCACGTATCAATCACTGTTTAAAATTCCACTTGTGTGGGGCTGGAGAGATGGCTCAGCAGTTAAGAACACTGACTGTTCTTGCAGAAGACATGAGTTTGAATCCCAGCACCCACATGGAAGCTAACAACTGTCCATAACTCCAGTTCCAGGGGATCCGACTGCCTCTTCTGACCTCTGCGGGCATTGCACAACACGGGTGCACTTACCTACATGCAGGCAATACATGCATACACGTAAAATAAAATTTAAAAATTACATTTGTACGTGTGTGTATATAAGTGTGTACATGCATGTGGAGTTCAGAGGCCTGTTAGTGGAACTGGTTTTCTCCTTCCACGGGGTACGGCCTAAGGATCAAGCTCGGGTGGTCAGGCTTGCTGATGCTCATCTTTACGTGCTGTGGTGGTTTGAATGAGGACGTCCCCTGTAGGTTAAAGTATTTGAGCCCTTCGTCAGTTTATGGTGCTGTTTGGGGAGGTCATGGCATCTTTGGGAGGTGTGGCCATGCCGGAGGAAGCAAGTCATTGGGGGAGGACCTTCATAGCCTTTCCCCAAGTTCCGGTCTCTCTCTGCTTGAAGAGGTCAGTGCTCGGCTTTCTGTTCCAGCTCCTCCTGCCCTGCGTCCCCCATCACGATGGACTCCTATTCCTCTGGAACTGAAAGCCCAAATAAACGCTCCCTTCTAGAAGGTGCCCTTGTTGTAGTGTTTTATCACAGCAACAGAGAAGCAACCACAACATGTGCTTACTGTTGCTTGAACAGGATCCCATCTAGGGGTTGGGGTCATTTTCTCCACCAATTAAAGAATTAAAAGGCAGGAAAATCTCAGACTGGCGGAGAACAACAGAAGAAACTTTTATTGAAAGATGAAGAATCACAGGCTGGAGAGACGGCCCAGCGGTTAAGGGCACTGGCTGCTCTTGCAGAGGACCCGGGTTCGATTCCCAGCACCCACATGGCAGCTATAAACCGTCCTTAACTCCAGTTCCAGGGGAATCTGATGCCCTCTCCTGACATCTG